CTTATTTCATTCTTTCTTTGTCTCCACTGTCAGTTTAAACGTGCAGTGCTGGAGGCACCCGAGTTATAGGAGGACCAAACGTCTGAGGAAAAGGATACCAGGTAAATAAAAACGCCAATCGGTTAAAGAAAGTAGGGTGTGCAGAAAAAGGGGCATTTATATTTGATTAGTTTGGCAAAAAAATAAATTATATTTTATAAATGATAAATTTGCTAAGGTGAGATTTAAACTTAATTGGGACAGCTGATTGTTATATTTTAAATATTTATATTTACTTACTTATATTTTTCCATCATTTAATGCTGGATCTTATGGTCACTATGTGGTCATTTAAGCAGCACTGTCATTAAAAAAATATGAAGTTTTATTTGACACACCAGATAGCACGCTTAATCTCACTAGCAAGCAACCTGTCTAACCTTAGCACAAAACAAACAAACAAAAAAATACAATAAAATTAGAGCTCTGTATGGATTAAATGGTTCCTTTCCACTTAAACAATGTAAACTTTATCCAGTCAAATATCTTATCGTCAAATCTTAACTGTCATGGATTCAAAGATGAGAAAGAGAGACAGTGTTTAAATATATAAACAAAAGGACATTTTTGAAATCTAGATATTGACTTTTTAAAGCTGAAAGTCAAGCATACAGTAAAAAGCAGATAGAGCAATGTTCTCTGTACACCGATCAGGCATAACACTATGACCACCTCCTTGTTTCTACGCTCATTGTCCATTTTATCAGCTCCACTTACTATATAGGTGCACTTTGTAGTTCTACAGTTACAGACTGTAGTCCATCTGTTTCTCTGATACTTTGTTAGCCCCCTTTTACCCTGTTCTTCAGTGGTCAGGACCCCCATGGACCCTCACAGAGCAGGTACTATTTGGGTGGATCATTCTCAGCACTGCAGTAACACTGATTTGGTGGTGGTGTGTTAGTGTGTGTTGCGCTGGTCTGAGTGGATCAGACACAGCAGTGCTGCTGGAGTTTTTAAACACCTCAGTGTCACTGCTGGACTGAGAATAGTCCACCAACCAAAAATATCCAGCCAACAGCGTCCTGTGGGCAGCATCCTGTGACCACTGATGAAGGACTAGAGGATGACCCACGCAAACTATGCTGACACACATGAGCTGTTGTCTCTGACTTTACATCTACAAGGTGGACCAACAAGGTAATAGAGTGGACAGTAAGTGGACACAGTGTTTAAAAACTCCAGCAGCACTGCTGTATCTGATCCACTCGTACCAGCACAACACACACTAACACACCTCCACCACGTCAGTGTTACTGCAGTGCTGAGAATGATCCACCACCCAAATAGTACCTGCTCTGTGAGGGTCCATGGGGGTCCTGACCACTGAAGAACAGGGTAAAATGGGTCTAACAAAGTATCAGAGAAACAGATGGACTACAGTCTGTAACTGTAGAACTACAAAGTGCACCTATATAGTAAGTGGAGCTGATAAAATGGACAATGAGCGTAGAAACAAGGAGGTGGTCATAATGATATGCCTGATTGGTGTACAAGTAGTATTAAAATTCTCTGTACAAAGCCTCGCTCGGTTAATGAGGGTTCAGTAAATTACCCGCACATGCAGCTCTTGCTAGGCTCTAGGATGCCTGGTAAGCTTCTCTGGGCTGAGGTAATTTAAGCAGCTATTTAAATGTGAAATTTTATTCTGTGTTATTAGTGATGATGGGCTGGTTCGGGTCAGTTTCAGACGGTTTTTGTTGAGCACAGGTCAGTTTCGTGCTGAAATGTTGACGACGATGGGCTCAGAGCAAGTATTTTTAGTCTGTATTCAGGCTTCAGGCCTGATTAAAGCTCTAGTGTCTGTACCTCATTTAAAAGAGAATATCACAGGATTGACAGAAAACTGATCATTCAAATTAGACCATGTGTCTTTTTTTGGTGAACTCATGGAAGAAACCAATACGTCTGCAAAACTGTGCTGAATCCAGCTCTCTGTTTATTAATCTGAAGTAGCCCTTCTACTGTATCATTAGGAGGTATTCATTTATTCAAACAGCACTGAGTTGGCTTCCATTTCACAGTGCCAATAGATTTGCACAACCTGCAGTCAGGGCGTCTGGATGGTGCAGTGAAATGCTTTATGGAAGATAGTTATGTCAGAAATTTTTGTAGATGTTTTTCCCTGTGAGATCATTACCATTCAGGTTCATTTCATGGACCCTCACAGAGCAGGTACTATTTGGGTGGTGGATCATTCTCAGCACTGCAGTAACACTGACGTGGTGGTGGTGTGTTAGTGTGTGTTGTGCTGGTCTGAGTGGATCAGACACAGCAGTGCTGCTGGAGTTTTTAAACACTGTGTCCACTCACTGTCCACTCTATTCGACACTCCTACCTTGTCAGTCCACCTTGTAGATGTAAAGTCAGAGACGATAGCTCATCTGCTGCTGCACAGTTTGTGTTGGTCATCCTCTAGTCCTTCATCAGTGGTCACAGGACGCTGCCCACAGGACGCTGTTGGCTGGATATTTTTGGTTGGTGGACTATTCTCAGTCCAGCAGTGACACTGAGGTGTTTAAAAACTCCATCAGCACTGCTGTGTCTGATCCACTCGTACCAGCACAACACACACTAACACACCACCACCACGTCAGTGTTACTGCAGTGCTGAGAATGATCCACCACCCAAATAGTACCTGCTCTGTGAGGGTCCATGGGGTCCTGACCACTGAAGAACAGGGTAAAAGGGGGCTAACAAAGTATCAGAGAAACAGATGGACTACAGTCTGTAACTGTAGAACTACAAAGTGCACCTATATAGTAAGTGGAGCTGATAAAATGGACAATCAGCGTAGAAACAAGGAGGTGGTCATAATGTTATGCCTGATCGGTGTAAATGAGAGCCTCCTTTCATTACAGTTTGCTTTTAAAGTGAACATGAATCAGAAATCATAACCCATTTTCCTTCCATGGTTTATTTCTGAGTGAAGTGCGGTTTCAGGGACAGGGCAGCCGGAGTGCGCCTTTAGTTACCAGGCAAAAAAAATGTTCAAAACCCAAGAATTCAACCTCAGTCAGAAGTTCCACAGCGGGGCGCTGTTGTGCATTTACCCCTGCGTGGCCCTGCGAGAATGTGACTTTTTAAACTTATAATCCAGTTGTTTTGCTAATAATGCTAATATTTTAACAGTAGAACAATAACAAGGTCTAAGGACTCGTAGCGTGTATTCTGACGCCAACACCCACCAAAATGCACACAAGTACACATCAGAGACAATATCAGGTTATTTTAACCATAATACCAAATAATTTAGCATTTATCCAACATGATATCAGTAATAAGTCTTTACATTATGTAATCTGCTGATGTCCTGCCTTTGCAGATAAGTATTTAAGCACAGTCTGCCTGTTCAACAAATGCATTTATTTTAACACTACCGGAAGAACCGGAAGTTTATGTAATTTATCTGTATCCCTCTCAAACATATAATAAATGCCTGGATGAAAAAAACTAGGTATAAAGTTATAAAAAGCTATAAGTTCAATGAAGTTATTAAATTATGTGATTTGTATGGTTATCTTAGTTCAAGAAACTGCAGAGCTTGCACAAACTCATCAACATTAATGAATATTAACATTTTTCATGCGTTTCACTGGATAGGACCGATGTTCCCATGCATTTAGAAAGGCAAACGAATAGCAATAATATTGCAGCATAACTATTACTCATACACAATTTTAAAACCTGCTTATCCTTATAGGCTCTGTAATGCAAAGTAAACTGCTGTGTTAGACTCAGACGCACATCCGTTACATCAGTCATAATCTGAGTATTTTAACTGCTAATGTCTATGTTGATGATACAGATGGGTGGTGCAGTGGCCTCCTCTCAACAGAAAGGACCGAAATGTATGTCAAATGTATATCAGAGATTTCATAACTGATTGAAAACAGGCCTATTCAAATTACACTTTATTAATTTTATATACTTTTTAAAAACCTGCCAAAGTAATGACAAACCAGCCCAAATTTTGTCCACCGAGCACTTTGACCCCTGCCAAAATCAACCAAAATTTTGCAGGAACCAGCCCCATCTGGCGACATTCATCAGGGAGGGCATAGTTGAGTGCTTTGCTTGATCATACAGTAGGTGGGGGTGGTGAGAAGGGGAGGTGAAGCATAATATTATTGGTTAATATTGTTTTTCTCTGCCCACCGGTGGAGGACGTTTTTGATGCACACAAAAGTCACTTCATTTTGATAAAAAATTACAGGAAAACATGTTTTGTCTATTAAATAGTTTGATATTATTAATGCTTCATATGACCAAGTACATGTACCAGCAGCTTTTTTTTTTTACAGAAATTAAGCCAATTTCTGGATTCAGATCAAAATTTAAATCAGGAATAGATTTAAAATGTCTTTAATATCTTAATTTATAAAATGAATTCTAAAAAAGTGTCATTGATGGAAAGCACCACTCTTATGAAGCACCACAAACAACTTGAATGCTCATAGTGCCCCCTGGAGGAGAATCGTCAACCTGCTAAATGAGAGTGAATGAGTTACGGTACCGTCCAGTTTTCTGGCCAGACCTTCGTAAGGTGTAGGAATGATATAATAAGTCATGGCCACGACTTAGTAAGGCATGGGAACACCATTATGATCAATTATCTTGTTCCCATGCCTTACTAAGTCATGGGAGTGCATTATTTTTATTTATACAGGATGTCACTAGTGGAGCTCCGTAGGTGGGCTTTTATTTGCTGTTTCTTGTTATAACGATTCAAGAACCATGTTGAACGTATCTGCAGCAGTTTCGTATTTGTTTTAATGTAACAGAAAATATGTATACAATTATGCTTTTATAATTTTCTAAATTTTTCAGGATTCAGGATCACTTATCCACAGTTACAACGTTACTAGCAAGCCTTTGCAAGGAAATCTAGAGTCCTGTTTTAAAGTTTTCCTTCCCCCTCAAAGAATTAAAGTCCAGCACACACTAAAAAGCAGACAGATCAGTGTTTTCTATACAGGTTTTATTTACAAAATGTATTAAAATTCTTTGTACAAGGCCTCGCTAATGAGGTTTCAGTAAATTATACCCACGCATGCAGTTCTTTCTTTTATCAGTAGGATGCCTGGTAAGGTTCTCTGGGCTGAGGTGCGGAAACAGGAAAAGGAAGGGTAAAATTATGTAAAAATTGAAGATCGATTTTCTGCTCTTCAAGGATTGGACGTAAGTTGCAGGGCTCAATAGGCAATCACAATTTTTTCACATGCAGATTTAAAAAAACAAAACAAAACAAAACAAAACAAAAAAAAAAAACAAAACGGGAACTCAGTCACTCAGTTGTGAATCCTGCTAGAAATTCCATTTAAACAAATGTACATTTCTTCATAGTAGTTTATTTTCTTTTTTAAACTCTTTAAAAGCTTATTTTCTATAGAAAACTATCTTTCCACGGTTTCCAGGATTGATCGTTCCTAAATCCTATGGAATCACAGTTTTTTTTTTCCCTCCTCCAAGTGAACAGAAAGTGTAACAGCAAAATGTAAATGTGCTAAGCTTTTAAGACGACCCCTGTTATCACCTTTTATCAGTCTATTTGAAAATTTATGTTATTAATGCTATTTTATTACTAAGTATTTCATCCAACACTAAAATGCTAAGAAAGTGAAACTAAAAACCAAAGCTTTTATTTAAATGTGCAATGTTTCGGGAAAAATTGCAAGGTTCTCAAGTACTACATTTTAAACAGCCATATCCTTTTTCATGGATTGCGGTCTATCTACATTTAGATGATCCAGTTCATGTACCGTAGGTTCATGTTCTCGGACAGTAGGCTTTAAAAACTACGAAAAAATCCAAGTAAACGAATGCAAATACTGTAGATACGCTGTAAAGTTTCAACTAACGTGTGTATACGTGAATTCGTGTAACATCTGAAACTGATTGCGACTTAACGCATGTTAAGTGCTCACATCGCGATACTTTTTTTAGTATATTTTTGGTCATATTAATAATACAGTATGTGCATTTTTCAGTTACTGACTGCCAAATGTATTATATAACTAGAGCCTGTATGGGCTAAGATATAACCTCTTGCCAGATTTCAGAGAAATCAGCAGCACCAAACAGAAAAAAAAAACAATGACACTACTCAAGTAACAGCATATAATCTGACTCTCTCACATTAAATGATTTCTAGTTGAAATAATTCAAAATTTGATAAATTAATGCTTTGATCAATGGCTGTGATTGTGAAAGCAAATTTACAGTTAATGAAGTACAAGCTTTTTTTTTTTGTTGTTGTTTCTTTTTTCTTGTAGATTTGCTTGACGACCAAGTCCAGCAGCATTCGAACAATCACAAACACTCTCCGAAACAGTTTTCAGTCAGTCTGGCTCTTCCAAATGTGCTAAGATAGCAAATGATGGCTTTGTTTCTCGGTTTCCATGGAGTTTTACGCAGTTCAAGAGTTTATTCACAGATGACAATGGCATTCTTTCGCGATCCGCGTGTGATTGGAGAGATGTGGATGTCACTGTGACGAGCTTGCATTCGAGTGATTCTCAGAATGTTCCGTAAGGCACTGAAGGAAACGCATCCAGATCCTTCTCAAAGACAAGTCCGCTCCGGTAATTCTCTCGGATAACCGCGCCTCGGGCAGTCAGGATGGTCTGGGTGGATGTGTATGGAGTGGGCGGGGGAGGGGAGGGGGAGGGGGTGGTGAGCGAGAGGATGGTCCCTCCTAAAGATCCAGCCATCGCTTTTAAGGTTTTCTTGTCACAATCATCATGGGTGATGCGTCGCACCTGCACGGAAACAGAGATGAAGCGTTAGTGGACGATCGTTTTAAAGCGTAGCATTTCTTAGGGGAGTCAATGGGTGTCAATAGTTTTATCCGTCTACACTTTTAGAATTAAAGGTGCCTAAAAGGGTTCAGTGGAGCGATGCCTTCAAACTCAGGTTCCCAGCTCTGGTCCTGGAGTAGCCCTGACCTGCACTGCTGAGTGTTTTCCTGCTCTAACACCCTCACTTCAAATCAGGAAGCGGCTGTTAATGAGCCGATTAATTGGATCACGTCTAATGGGGGCAGAGAAAAACTACTGCAATAGAAGAACCACGTTTGGGAACCTTTCAAGGGATGGTTCTTCAAAGCAGTGTTCAAGAACCCCAGTGGCGAACCATAATTATTACAGCTACACCTTCAGCTATTCTTTGCTAATTTTTTCTAATAGATTTTTGGTCGTTCTAGATTAAACATTAACTTTTGAAGGCTGTAAAAGACATTTCTTGTTTTGTTTGAAGCTTGTATTAGTCGTTAAACCTTGTGTGGTGTTGATGTGTTTGTTATTCAGTGGTCTGCTGGGCCCACCACATTATTGTTTTTAAATCAATACAGCCATAACAATTTATGTAAAAATACCAGATGTTTAAAATATCACAAGTGTCCAGCGTAGGGTTCTCGTTTAGCAGCTGTAGCCAGTCAGCAGCCTGTCTATGTTGCAAGGTAATTTAAAAAATAATTTTGTTTGCAAATTAGGCTGAGCTGCTATTAGCTCTGTACAAGAGAATAAAGATCTACTTCAAAAATACTTCTAAGAAATATTGGCCAAGTTTACAGAAAAATAAAATTTATGTTTGGCAGCTTGTCATGGCAGTTTGGTTTAATTTTTTTGCTTATTTGGAGACCGCACTCTCAAACCACTGTAAAAAAAATGAGGTCAGCTCAACTTAAAATGATATAGTAACTGATTACACGGCTTTTCTTGAGTTGACTCAACTTGAGGACACCAGAGTTCACCCAACTCAAACTTTGTCAAAAATTCTCCCAGCTACTGTTTCTAGCTCTGCATCTCAGTTAGATAAACAAAACTGAGTTCGTGTTTTTTTTTACTCAGTTTTTCCACTAGCTGGCGCTCCTTCTATCACAGTCCCATCTGGCATATTTTCCTTTTGGGCTTCCGGATATGGACAGCTGTGGTATTGCTGGGATTCAAACTCACAACCTCCTGATATCAGGATGAATTATTAGACAGTTGCACCAAACGAGACGACGCCCTGCTTTAAAGTTAAAACAACAAGTATTTTCTCCAGTGTATTAAACATTTGCAGACACAAAATCAGAGCTGCTTCACGTGTTCCTGAGTGGTGCAGTGGACTAAGCCATCACCCCAACAGGAGGTTGTGAGTTTGAGCCCCAGCAAGGAAAAGCTGCCTAGCAGGATTGTATGATGGAAACAGTCCTGGTCCAAGTTCCTTTTATTTACCGAACTGAGATACAGAGCTAAAAAAATGAAGACTAAGAAGTTTGAGTTGGGTGAACTCTAGTGTCCTCAAGTTGAGTCAACACAGGAAAAGCCATGTAATGAGTTACTATATTATTTTGAGTTGAGCTGACCTCTCATTTTTTACAGTGTACCGTCTGTTTTCACTAATTTTTTTCTTCTATCTACAGCTGGGAAAATGGGAAGCACTTGAAGAGTCACATAGCTTTATTTCCTTCGCTTTACATTATTCATTTGGCGAAAGAGTTTTCATTTGAATTTTCACATTTTTATTTTATCTGCTAGAAAAGTGTCCACCTCAAGCAAGCATACAAACATTTATGTGAATTTTGCAATTTTCTTTCATGTTTGTCATTTCTTTTGTAGTTGATATGCTAAATCCAATAAATGGATAAAATCCTAGTGATAGTGAGAGAACTGTGGAGTAAACAAATTTCAGAGGAAAGCATGAAAACTGTAAACACAATGTCACGATGCGTAGTTTATCTTAATGCCATCCAAGCTTCACAAAAAATACTAGTGTATTGGCAGTTTTGTTGTTTGAAACCTACTTGTTTAGTGGCATCTTTAAAAAACAATATTATTTTTGCTCTGAAAGTCTGAAAGTGTTCAGTCTTCTTTGTAAAACAATCGTGTTCTCAGATCTATTTACAGCAGACGGTCAGTCCTACTCAAATATTATCCAGGGCCAACTTACATCCCTGCAACTCTTGTGAAAGTGTTCGGTTATAAATTTACACGGTTTCTTCTCAGAGTACAAACACCATTAAGCGAATGTGTTTCCATGACATGGTGCAATTTCTGATGCAATGGTTTGAAAATAGCTGGCAGGGTGACAAGCTGCTCAGTAACGGCAATGTAAAGAGAACTGGCAGTCTTTTGAAAATGTAGGTACAGTGCTTTGCAAAAGTCAGAGGCTACCTGTAATTTATTTATTCCACCCAAAACGCCATTAAGTTGTTCATTTTTCAGGAGATATTTGTGAGGAGATTTAGATAATCCACTGTTGTCGGAAGAAAACCTCGTATCTCCAAAATGGTAACTTTACAGGAGAAGGAAAAAACCTACTTTACTTTTAATGTAAGTCAATGGAACCAGACTTTTTTCCAAGGCTTTTTTCTGCCATTTCTTTTGGTCCATTCATCATGCAATTTACACACAATGTAAAGGGCAACAGGCATTTTCAAATTATGTCAAAAACTGAAAAACAGACAGTTAGATAGGTAGAGAGAGGGAGTGAGAGAGAGAATGGAACTGTTAACAACCATGCAAGACCTGGTAGACCACCAAAGCTGTCACTAGTACTTAAAGCTTTCACCTTGTATCTTGCTTCCTTTCTAAAAAAAAAAAAAAGAAAAATTTCAGATCAAACAGAAGCTGCTGGTGTTTTTAGAATAGTGGACTGTCCACCCCAAAGTCCAGACCAAAGTCCAACATCACTGAATGTGTTGAGGATTTTTTGGATTGTGAAGCAAAAAAATCAACTTCTAAGACTGAACTTTTGAGGTGTGGAAGGATATCCCTACAAATTTGTTTGAAAAACTGAAAGCAAGTCTCCCAAAAAGAATGTAAACAGTACTAAAGGAAAATGTGGACACACTAAATACTGAAGATTTTAATATTATAATTATCGATACGAGGTTTCTGTGTCATTCTGCCTTTTTTAAACACATGAAAGGTTGTCTTTAACTTTTGAACAGTACTGTACATTTCTGCCATAGTTCCTTTCAAATATGCAGTTGTGTCAGTGGTTTTGATGGCACTTTAGTGGCACATAGGCTACGTTCACACAGCAGGTAAAAGTGGCCCAAATCTGATCTTTTAAATTGAATCTTTTAAATGTGATCTGTATGGGTCATCAGTCTGAACAGATCAGCTCCTAAACTGACCCACATGCACTAAAGAACAGAGCGTCACGCTGCTTCACGGCTCATCCAGAGGTAAACAATCACGACTGCCAACGAACGCCAGTCGCTCCCGGAGGATCAGCTTCATCTTCACCAGCATCACAGGAGCCATCATGAAGCTGCACTGACTGACAGCTGGGCTCATCACCCAGAATGTGTTCAGCTCGCCGTTAAAAGGGCGCGGTCACTTCTTTGGTTCGCGTCCTCGGATTCTTTAAACTTTGCTTTCTGACTTAACTGTTCTTTGACGCTGCAGCCTCGTTTGGACATTTCTTTCAAAATCTCTTCGAACATGAAAGGCTTTGGATGAGTCTCTTCTAATTTTTTGTACATAAACATCACCCCAAATGTTTATGAGTCTCAGCAACACGAAATTATGACGAATTTTGAGTTGGATTGATGTGCATAAATTCCGATCTGGCAGTTCAGACTGAGTCGCAGTGCCGCATATCGGATTTCAGTACCACATATGAAAGCGTCTCAAATCGGAATTGAAAATGTCCGATTCAGTGTGTTTATCTGTTCACACCGACACACAGACACACATCTGTGTCACACATGAAGAAAAAGATCAGATTTGGGCCACTTTTACCTGCTGAGAGAACAAAGCCATAGACACTTACAGTGTGACCAGGCAGAACATCCACAAACAAATCAGGACAAAGACAGACATTAAAAGAATGAAGGAAAGAGCTGTTTGGATCCGTACCCCTAGATCTTAACGCTCTCCGTCCCGTACACATTGTAGCCTTCTCGGTATGTGGCAAAGTTCTGAGTGTTGGTTGGCGGTGCGGGCTTAAAGTTTTGGGCATTCTTTTCGAGTTTCAGCCTTTTGGCTTCTGCACGTGACTTGTAACAGAACTCTATTAAAGCCACCATCATGGCCAGGCCCAGCCCGCCAACCAGAATATAGAAGACACCAGCTACATTGCTCAGGCTCAGAGCGCTTGTCTTGTCCTAAGAGAAGTGAGGAAGACAGTTAGTATGGTTTGCACTGGTGAGCATTTGACAGAACAATACACAGTAAACATACTTGAGCCTGTAGCATAACCTATTCTCTAAAACAACTGGCATAAATATTAACCAGGACTTCTGACATTTGGATGGAGACATCCTAACATTGTTAAAGCTCCATTGGTGCTTCTCCCAGTGGGATTCCAAAGGGACTGAGCAAACCCGTAACTGGGAATCATTGGCTAAAACTAGCTAAAATTGACTTGGATTGATCTGGCTTCTCTACCACCACCAGGACGTCTGAGGACCTCCAGGACGGCGTAGGTCGATCAGCGCTCCAGTAGGGCGCCATAAGTCAATGCAACAGTAGAAAGCATAACTGGTGAATGTAGAAAAATTCAAGTTCTAGACATTTCTAACCTACTCTCATTGGCTTCTTCATGTGTTTGAGGAAGCTGGTCAGTTACATACAGGTCCGACCTCTGACTTCAACCCCTCCCTTAAAAAGTGTCTACATTGGCTCTTAAAAAACTTGCTCTACTCAACAGTCAGATTCATATTTTGATGTATCTTCTCCAGCATAAAAAAATACTTATTTTAAGAATTGGCTTGAACCATTCTGCTGCTGCTTACCTCCCAAACTTATTCATTAAAAATTTGTTCATAAGAGTTTATACCATTTGCAATTTAACCCTATGAGCTGCGAACGCCTGTAAATGCGGCATCTGTAATATGGTGATCGCCTTGGATTTGAACGCTACCTTAGGAGAATCTCAGAGGGTTAACAAAGAGGTTTATTATATTCTTTAACTTCTTGTGGTGCGCAAACAAAAGGTCCATTGTGACATCTCTGTTTCGAGCACAAATCAAAGACGGTTCTCATCAAGGCCTAAGCAATTTAGGTCGAAACAGTCTGACACAATGAGAAATTTTGTTGTCTGGTTCACAACACAAGAAGATAAACAATCTAATAGACACATTCCATGCAAATAAGTAAGAACGCTAATAAATCAAATATTTAATTAAAAGTTTGGTAAATAGAAACAGCAGCATAATGGTTGTTGTGTCATGGATGTCAAATGGAAGAAATAAGCAAAGAATAACACTTGGTATACTAAAAAAAAGAATTGAAATATCTTTTTTCATTTGCACTTTTACTAATTCCCCACACTATGAATCATCTGATTTAGCATTACGAGGGTAACGTTTTTCATTTAAAAACAAAAATACAGCACTAGTGATAGTATTTCAATGGGGAACCGTGCACAACATTAGGCCACTATAGTTCACTTCTTAAGCATGGGCTAAAAATCTATTCAAGATATAAATATATTTATTTATATATTTTTTTACACAGTAAAAATGAAAATGAAGAGAAATAGCTATTTGAAAAGGTTCTTTTCTTTGCATGTGAACAATACGTCAAAATGCAATTTGGAATCAGTACAAAAGACCTGCAGCGACTGACCTTACTTCCAGAGTCCTTGGTCCCACATTCACCCTTATCGTACCACCATTTGTTTTTCAGCTTGGCTAAGATGCCTTGTTCACTGAGTTTCAATACTGCAAGGTTTACAGGAGTTCTTCACGTGGGAAATAACATAAATAACATTATATTATGTTATTTTATGTTATTCAAGTCTTATCTACTTCATACTTTACAAAGCGATAAAGCAGGACTCCTGGCCATTTTTCAACAACACACACTGGCAGGCATACTATTACCTTCTATCCAGCAGAGCTACGCTAAGGTGCCAGGACCTACCCATATCGCTTTGAGTAATCGGCATACACTGTTAACAGAAGAACAGGCAGGTTTTTTTTTCTGAAGATACAACCTGCTGATCTATAGAAGCAGAGGAAAATGCATTGGTTTATGACACAGACAGTCTGATCACCTAGGGCGTTCCGATCTAAGGCTGGAACCCTCTATTGACTGACAGGCAAACAAAAATTACCAGTAATATTTTGTTCAAGCTGAGGAGAGTTGTAAAAAACAAAGAGAGCTCAGTAGCAATAATAGGCCATTAATTGTGTATGTGTGTGTGGGTATATGTATATATATATATATATATATATATATATATATATATATATATATATGTATATATATATATATATATATATGTACATCGATGTTGTCAGAAGAAACCTTGTATCTCCAAAATGGTAACTTTTCAGGAGAAAGAAAAAACCTACTTTACTTTTAATGTAAGTCAATGGAACCAGAATTTTTTCCAAGTCATTTTGGGTCGTTTCTTTTGGTCCATTCATCATTAAATTTACACACAATGTAAAGGGCGACCGGCATTTTCAAATTATGTCAAAAACTGAAAAACAACAAAAATGGAGATACAAGGTTTTCTTTGGACAGCAGCGATATACATACATACACACACAATTACACGTACTGTGATTGTAGTAAAGTAACACATTTCTATTAAAAGACATTAAAAATTAAAATAAAGAGGCACATATTTTACTGATGTTATTTAGCATTATACAAATAACTTTGTGTGCATTCATAGCTTGAGTTTGAGTTAAAGGAGACTTTCACTGAATGTCTGCATAATTAAGTAAACAATGTCATTCACAGTGGTGGTGATAGGAACCAGCCATCTGAAGCATTTCGTGCCCATAAAAGCTAAAAGTAATTATGAATATATGAAGTTGTTTTATGATGGTTTTGGTCTAAAACTAAATAGTAAAAAATAGTACTTTTTTTTCAGATTTACCAGTGTTTATCTATTATTGATGTATTATCGCTGTCTGAGGAAAAATATTTACCTCCAAAATAGTAACTTTGCAGGAGATGACAAAAGCTGTCTTAACTTTTAATGTAAGTTAAAGTGAAGAGGTTTCATTCTAGATGAATTCAGAGCTTTTCTATTGGTTTATTTGTCATGAACGTTTCACACAATATAAAGGAAAGCCAATGACGTATTGTTTTGGACAGTGGTGATTTAAAAACTCGATTTTGGACGGGAAATAAATTGCCTATTTTTGTGTTGTCCACACTGCAGTGCCTGGGTTGGCTGGTTTCTCTAGAATCCAAAATTTCACATCAAACCACTCTGAATTTACATCTCAAAAACTGAACTATGCAGAAATTCCCCTTTAATTTTTTTGTTTTTCTTAATTTCTGAATTCCTGAACGACACAAACAGCTACTCCACAGGAACCTGACCTGTTCTTTTTATAGAGGTACGAAAGCCAGTCTTCCCGCACGCTGTGGGCATCAAGAGTGGCTTAAACATTCATTGCATTTGCTGTGACCACTCACTGATAAGTGAGCCGCTCTGTCTATGCGTCTGGTTTTGGCTCGAGGAGAGACATTGATTAACAGCGTAATTATCCTTTAAGTGTTTGGTGTGACTGGAGTGAGAAAACCAATCAGAGGGAAGTGATGGCAACAGTCTGCCAAGGGCGGAGAGGAGAAGGGGCTGTCTGACGCATAATGGCGGTTTGTTACAGGTGGTAACGTGTTTTTTCTCTCTCCTTCTCTCTCTCTGAGTCTTTCTTCCCATCTTTTTTTCTCGTTCTCTCAGTCGTTTTCACAGCTGGCTTTCGCGGCTTGGTCCAGAAGAGCCATTGCTGTCTCCCAACACAAGCTCATTAGAGCCAGCTCACCGACTGTGTTGGCCAATGTGGGCTTCAAATCGCTGCAGCAACAAAGCTGGAACAGAGGAGGTGATTATGAAAGCTCATACAACCTGTCACCTTCTTCCACAGCCGGGGGGTTCTCTGCTTGTGACAAAGCGGAGGCGTGTACCAAATGTAGCGCAACCTGAGCCCCTCACTATTGGTTAAAAATAAAAAAACGCAAGATCTCTGCCTTTTAGGGGGTGAAAGATGCTGTAGAAGTGCAGGCCCCATTGTCAGGAGAGAGGAAAGATTCTGAAAAGCCCAAGCAATGGCAGTACTGCCAGAGTAGCGCAAGCTCAGCTATTAACTATTAAATGCATGGACAAAGAATAGGATAAAGGTGCCGGGAAAAAAGTGCACCATTGAAATGGGTATAATACACGGCCTACTTTCTCAAAGTAGGCATGCGGAGAAAAAGTGAAACCTTTGCTGACATTTCTGCTTTTTCAGCGTGATCTTTGGGACGCCTGATAAAACAATACGAGGTTATGATTTAGGGCTGCAAAGGTTACAGAGAAAAATGTTCAGGACAGGGACGGAAGCGTCTCATTCCTCATCTGAAACTGTTTTGCTTTGCTTGGGCCGAGCGCTAACGTCCTGAGAATGAGGCCCTTGAAATCGAAAAACATCTCAAGAGTTGTGACAAAAGAGAACAGCGTCCTCCAGACGACAGGAGGCCTTTGTTTGTCTGAATGGAGACAAAACATATTTGTTAAAGCTTTAGTTCAGTAATGTAAACGTCTCCTTTTGGCCGCCGCTCTTAAAAACAAGTGAAAAGGCAGTTTAGAAGGTAATGATTTTTGTATGGTGTCCTTCTGTCTGATGTGTCATTCATAACAGCCAGTTCATCTTCTCCTTTAGCGGAGATAAGGCTATGGCAGGTCTTCAGTTGTTTCCTGCTGTGGCTGCGCTGCCTTTGTGGAGAAGGTGGAGCAGCAGTTAAGATCAAGTAAAGCCCGTTGTGGAGGGAGGCTTTCTGACCCACTCGGGATTTTGCAAGATGGAGATGTTTCTGCAATGCTCTGTTCCATCAAGAATTAGGCTAGCCTAACTGCACATCACTCCTGTTAAGTAGTGGACAGGTTTGGTGTCTGGACGCTGAACGCTGGCCCTGCAGGACCTGAACTGAATAGCCCTGTTATGTCATAACACTTCGTTATTTCATTAAGCGTCCCATCCACCACAGTGGTTCTCAACTCCAGCCATAGGGACCCCCTGCTCTTTCCAGTTTCCCTGCCCTGCAGTGGCGTAATTAGGATCTTATGGGCCCCAGTGCCAAAAGAACATCAGTGCCCTCAGTATGAAAATGACTTTCAGTTAATAAAAAATGACAGTTGTTTTGGCTCAAACAGTTTGATGCCCTCAAGGCATTCAGTTCCACCAATTAGCATCTTACAATCTCAGCAAAACTGTCATTGGGTTGATACCTTGAAGTTATTGGGATGGTACCTCTAAAGGGCACATCTTCAGTACCTTTAGTTAGCAAGCTTTACTGATCCTTATTCTGTAGTAGTTCTATTTTAAGCTGCACCATTAATGCTGTCCTGAATCCAGGCTTTCACTTTTATTTTAAAAAGAATTTTGAAAAAGGTAAACATGCAACTTTCTCCTGGGAAAGAGGATTTAGCGAAACTCATTTAAGGTACACAGTTGGACCTTAAGACCATTGTTGTGGACCTTTATGGGCACATTTACCTTATCTGTATCTGTTTGGTACTCTGGACAGTGACCATCAACCTAAATGTTTACATTAGACTCTCTATTATACATCGTATTTAGCTGTCTGATGCCACTGGAGGTTACATAGATTGCTATGAAACATACACATTCGATAAAATACATATTTGGGCTCCCGAGTGGCGCAACCATCTATGCGTTGGCCCTATCATCAGGAGATCACGAGTTCGATCCCTGCGCGTTCGGCTGTCCAATGACGTTGCGTGAGCGGCAGCTCGAAAAGAAGCGGTGGCTGGTTTCACAGGTGTCGGAGGAAGCCTGTGTTAGCCTTCACCCTCCTAGCGTTGATAGCGTCATGTGTGATTGGGGGAGTCCTAACTAGCGGGTGGAATTGGAGACGACTAAATTGGGGAGAAAATCGGGTAAAAATAAATAAATAAAATACATATTTTGGTGTATTACTTGAATGGAATCATTCTGATATACATTTTAGAGTTATGAATAGTAAATACATGATGGTTCTCATTCCAAAATGTTTTGTGGTTAGGATTAATAGCACCTTTATCAGAGAAATAAAAATGTGTTTTCCACCTGTTTTTTGATAGAAGCTAACTGGTGAGCTGTGTTAAGTAGGTGGATCTTTCCATGTGATAGGTGTACAGTTACTGTCAGAATCTATGAGGGGCCCATTGGCTGTAGTTCGTTTTCCTCCCTGCCTTCTTCTACCTATGATTCCCTGCTCCAACACACCTGATCCAGCTCATGAAGGGCCTGGAATTACTTGTTGAGTTGGATCTGGGGATTTGAGGCAGGGAATATTTGAAATTGCGCTGGACAGTGGGTCCCCACGCCTGGAACTGAGAACCTCTGCACCAACATGTTACAGCACAGTGTTTCCCAACTCAGTCCTTGGAACTGGATGGTCCACATTTTTCCTCTAAACTGGTCCCAAATACACCTGTAACAGGTATTCAATCTACCAGGTAATGGCTTCGTATGTTGGTAGATGGGATGAAGCAAAAATGAGGACCAAGTAGCCTCAAGGACCAGGTTATAGCACAGCACTGTCTCCTTTGTTTCATTTGGTTATGTTTTCACTGGAGCATAATATCAGTGGTCAGTGCAAGCACAATTAGACGGGGCTGCCTTCAGTGGAATGCTGCCCAGCAGAGGGTAAAAGAAAACCAAATGCACCATCTTCCTCTACCAACTGCTAGGCAGGTCCACTCAGCTCAGAGATCCCTCACAAACACATATATAGGAATGCACTGCACAACCACACACTTAACATTTATAGCGACAGATGAAAAAAACAAATGAGCCCTGACCGCTGGCGGTAAATATCAATGTAATAACTATTTTATGACCTCGTAACGACTGCATAACTAAACACAATCTGGACGATAAGGTCGATTTTAAAGCGACCGCTGCCTGCCTGCTTCAGTCCCTGCTTACAAAAGCTCTCCTCAGTAGGACAAAATCGTACTGGTCCTTTTTTTACCTCCGTTAGCCAAGTCAGGGTTCTGCGTTTGGGACAGTAACAATCAGGGCCGTGTTTGAAGAAAAAGAAAGTAAGGGGGGAATAAAAGAAGAGGGTCACGTGGCCGAACGGCAGCCGTGGGCAGCCGCTCGTGACGGTTCTAGAGGGCCTTTGGTTCAGGAATAACAGCCTTGCCGATTACTCTGCACTATGGTACCCGATTTTGGTGACATTGAGGCTGACCTTGGAGTCACCTCCCCCGCTGCCGCACTCTCCCTTGTCGTACCACCATTTGTTTTTCAATTTGTCCAAGAGGCCTTGCTCATTCAGTTTTAAAACTGCCAGGTTAACAGCATTTCTTGAAACGATAAAACATAACTTGTAAGAAAATGCACAGGAGCGTGAGAAATTCTAAGGCAATAGCAAAGTAGTAGTAACGGTAGTAGTGTTATGTGCTGGAGTCTACTACTACGCAGACTTCAGTCATTAGAATAGTATCAGTATTCAGAATGGTCATTGAAAGAGCACGAAAGGACAATTTGGTTAAGAATTTCACGGATATGGAGATAAAGAGACGCTCAGAGCAAAGAAAGTGTTAAATATCAAAGGTGGCATGGAGGGTTACGCTGTTTGGAACTGAAGTGTGCGGGATGGGGACACTCGTCATTGAGAAGAAAAGTAACAACAACAAACACCATGCAATTAACATTCGTCACAAGTGACAGCGCAGCTTTTACAAGCTAAATTGAAAAACCGTTGAACTGTTAAATTAAAAGTGACAACACAACAGTCAGGAAGGACAGCACACAAGACAGAGAGAGAGAGAGAGAGAGAGAGAGAGAGAGAGAGAGAGATACGGGAGAATGAGGAACAGGAGAGAAAGAGACAGTAAGAGAGACATAAAAGGTGAAATGGTTATTACACTTAGCCCCGAATACTCTAAATTGGATTTCTGGTTCGATTAGAAAAAGAACACAAGCACACAGAAGAAGAAAACACAAGATAATCATCATCATCTTCAATCAAAGAACATTAAAGAAAACGTTATACTGTTACCTCGTCAGGTTCATTGAGAAAAAAATAGGGGAGGGGAGAGGGGCAAAGAAATAAAGGGTTTTGAGGAGGTGGTGGGGGGGAGAGAAGGGTTCAGGGGGGTTGGGATTTGGGAGGTGGGGCGGGGGGGGAGAAGAGAAATGACAACACAAGACATCAGGGTAGGTGGAATACTATAACAACATGGAGAATATTGTTATATTATTCCACCCACCTTAATGCTGAGCCCTTGGGGGTCGCCACACCATAGCCCTTAGAGTCGAGATTGCCGCCCACTTTCATGGTGTCGCAGGGCTTCCTCTGCTCAATGTACTCGTTCATGGTGGACTCGAGGAGAAAGGCGAACTTGCCCTTCGACTTGCGAACGCGGGCCACGCCGTCCGGAGTGGTCTTGGCAAAGACGGACGGCTCGGCCGATTTCATGTACGACCACATTTTTTCGTACACTGCTATTTTTGAGCGCTGAAATAGAGAGAGAGAGAGAGAGAGAGAGAGAGAGAGAGAGACATTCAGACATCATCATAACTCAAAGGTGCACAGATCTGGCACACAGATACTGTATTTCACCATCCGTGTCGACGGCTAAGATCAACTATGTGCTTTTAATCTCGATATATATGGCTAAAAATAACCTTAAAGCGAGCCGGTAAACAGACGCAAACATCTCAACGTGGAACTTTATGACAGGTTTAAAGATTTCGAAGGGTCACGAGGTGCGACATTTCGTGAGATTAATAAAAAGCAGCGCTGCGTGCCGGGGTGTCAACATCAAAGGCACGTCACGGGTTCTTTTCTGTATTTTGTTGTTTTTTCATGTAGTTCTATATTTCGCTGCTGTCGGACGAAAACCTCGTACATCCAAAATGACAACTTTACAGGAGAAGGAAAAAACCTACTTTTAATGTAAGTCAATGGAACCAGAATTCTTTCTAAGTAATTTTGGGTCGTTTCTTTTTGTCTGTTCATCATGAAATTTACACACAGTGTAAAGGGCCACAGGTATTTTCAAATTATGTCAAAAACTGAAAAACGACGAAAGACACAAGGTTTTGTTCCGACAGCAGCGAATTTTCTATCTAAAAATACATACAATAATCCCACAGTGCTAATTCAACTTGTATTAACTGTACAAATGACTCTTGTTTGCAGATACGGGCCACATCAATCAGGCGTGATTACAGTACAATTCAGAACCACCTCAGATCAATTCTGGCACCTAAAACAAACATTCATCAGCTCAAACAGGCCTCCCTTCTCACTGGCTGTGCGTACCGAGCTGTGAAAAAGTATTCACCCCTTCCCCATTATTTCTACACATATTGTCACACTTGAACGTTTCAGATCATCAAACTACGTCTAATGTTAGAGACAGATAACCCAAGTAAACTTCAATAAAATAAATACATTCCCTTTAAGTTTCAGCTCAGCGTTAAGCCCTGTCCTTCTTTTAGGAATGACTTACTAGGATGGGCGCTAGCCAGTCAGAGTGGACAGGATCATAAGGCTGAAATTTGCATAAAATTGCGGTGGCACTTTATTTTGAGTGGTACTTTTAAGCAAAACAAACACTCAACAGACTCTCGGTAACATGTCAAACACATATGGGGGTTAGGGTTAGGATTAGGGCCAGGGTGAGGCTTAGAATCAAGTTTTGGGTTGAGGTTAAGGTTAGGGTTAGGATTAGGTTTTGGGTTGAGGTTAGGGTTAGGGTTAGGTTTTGGGTTGAGGTTAGGGTTAGTATTAGGATTACGGCCAGGGTGAGGGTTAGGATTAGGGCCAGGGTGAGGGTTAGGATTAGGTTTTGGGTTGAGGTTAGGGTTAGGATTAGGTTTTGGGTTGAGGTTAGGGTTAGGATTATGATTAGGATTAGGATTAGGGCCAGGCTGAGGGTTAGGATTAGGTTTTGGGTTGAGGTTAGGATTAGGGTTAGGATTAAGGCCAGGGTGGGGTTAGGATTAGGATTAGGGCCAGGGTGAGGGTTAGGATTAGGTTTTGGGTTGAGGTTAGGGTTAGTATTAGGATTACGGCCAGGGTGAGGGTTAGGATTAGGGCCAGGGTGAGGGTTAGGATTAGGTTTCGGGTTGAGGTTAGGGTTAGGATTAGGTTTTGGGTTGAGGTTAGGGTTAGGATTATGATTAGGATTAGGGCCAGGGTGAAGGTTAGGATTAGGTTTTGGGTTGAGGTTAGGGTTAGGATTAAGGCCAGGGTGGGGTTAGGATTAGGATTAGGGCCAGGGTGAAGGTTAGGATTAGGTTTTGGGTTGAGTTTAAGGTTAGGGTTAGGACTAGGGTTAGGTTTTGGTAAGGTTTGGTTTTGCATAATGGAAGTAACATATAAACATTACATCTACTTGATGTAAGTAATGTATCAATGAAACATCTACAAAATATTTACTTCAGTGTATTCAGATGCTTCACTGATATGTTGTTGATGTGTTACTGATAATCTGTTAAGAGTTTATTAATCATCTACAAAGCACCACTCCAAATAAAGTGCTACAAAATTGCAATATTTAAGTTTCTTTACTGCAGAGGGTGTATGAACTTATTTCACTTAAAAATCAACAAATAATGAAATTTGACCAGGGGCGTTCAAACGTTTGCTTACAACTGCATATAATATAAACAAGCTTTGGTCCAGAGAGAAGGCATTCTCAATCCTGACTGGTCAGCGGTGGATGACGTATGATGCTCTTTTGTGGCCATTCAGAGAAAAAGTTGATATTTTTTCAACTTAAACACGAGTTAAAGACATGATGCACAGCTAAAGGAGCTGCACAGCTCCATACACAAAAATGAAGAGAAGCGAGCTTGTGAGACCTTCAAAAAGCATTATCTGATGCCTCCTTATTATACAGTGTGCTAAATTTTTTAAAAGGTGCTCGATCTCTCTACCAGTGAGAAAATGACAGTGCCACTTATAAATACAGCTAATTCACAGAAGCAGTGGCTGGACCATCTATCTAATAATGCTGGTATCTGGGGGGAGTGAGGCAGAGTGTAATGAGCATGCCTGAATTATTCAATGGCTGTAGGTTGGTTTGTTTATTTATTTATTTGGTTACTTTTTTCCCCTGGTGCCGTGGCATTTTAACGTCCCTGACATAAATTACGGGTCTCGCCGGCAGAACTTTGCCCCCGGGTGCACTGCGGTACAGTGTCATTTGTACTTTCTGAGGCAATGGTGGACATGCAGGCGCATGAAACGAGTTTGCCAACAGGGCCCTGGATTTGGACGAGCTGTCGGGGTGGCACTATCAATTAGAAGCATTTTTCACTGCAAGCAGAGCGAGCACTGAGACAAGCCCCAGCAAGGTCACTGGGGAGAAACCTAATGACACAGTTGGGTTGGAGGAGGGGGCAAACCAGAGCACGCGGATGGCCACATTAATGCCCCAGAATGCTCTGCCAGCCCTTGTTTTCCAGTGTTAGTACGACACATCTAACAACGAGCTGCCTCTGCAGCGAAACACAAGCTACACACCGAGCTACTGCGTACACACCGCAGTAAATATTTACAATGGATGCAACACTGTCTGTAATTGAAATGCTTTCAAGGGCGGATACAACGAATATTTCCCATGCATGAGGGTTCATAAGCAACCTCAACGTCCTGAGAATAGTTTTACATTCACTCAAAAGTTCAGATTCACTTGTCCTATTAATAATATATATATATATATATATATATATATATATATATAATTCAATATTAGCTCACACTGTAGATTATATGAGCTAAACCACAGAAAATATTTTTAGTTGTTTTATTTAATGATTATTGCATAATAAGTTATTCCTATATTACTGTATAGTAAGTTATTCTCAATGTTATACAGCTTTCTGAGTCTTTTTAGAAGCATCTACAGTCAGTTATTCATTCTGGACACATACAAATCACAAATGATGTTAAATGTGTGACGTTGCAGAGTACTAGCACTATATTATAGCCATTTTAAGATGTATCTGCAACAAAATTGTTTTTGTTTTAGACAGTTCTGACAGCACAGTCTGATTGGTTGAGACGGGCTGTCGTACTGGTTGCAAAGTAACAGCTACTAATTTTCAACCTTAACAAATAAGAAAATTGAAAATGAATACATTAGAACTTGTATAAGATAATAATTTATCTGTATCCTATCTAGTCAGATTCTGAAAATGCATGTGACACCAGAACAGACAAGTGAATCAAATTCCAAACCTGTCGTTGCCACTAAGAAACTAACAACCTGCAATAAGCCAGAAATCAGAATACAATTCGGCAAACAAGATGGGCTGTAAAATGCTTTCTAAACTGGTCTAAACAATGAGGCAAATACTGAAAAAGCTGGACAGAACCTGGTATTGCAACAGTTTCATGGCTTTCGGACACTCTCAGAAAACAAGGCAGTAAACTCTCACTGGGACAGTTCCCCTCTTGTCACTGGGGTGGAACCCTCAAGGGTCCATCTCAGTACCTTTAGTCAGGGAACATAACTGAACCATAATCCACTGAAATGATATGTTCTAAGCTGTACTGACTCCACACACCCCGTCTCGCCTCCAGGCTTTTATTTTACTGTTCTGTTTTAAAACATTCGGTTATGAAAAGGTACAAATACAAACTTTTCACCTGGAAAAACTTATTTAAGGTTCACAATCAGACCTTAAAACCACTGTTGGAGCTTTGAGGGAACATTTACACTGTTTGTACCTTGATGAATGAAAAGTGTACCTGAACAGAACCTTTATTTCTAACAGTGTAGTAAAGGTACTACTTTTGTGGGAGAAAAACTTGATGAAATTAAAGCACATTTGGTACAGCGTTCAGGGCTGCTTTACTTAACTTTTTTAATTTGGCAAAATAAATGCAATAGAACATTTAACGGTATATTTTATTGCAGAAAACATCACGGCTACGTTGATATACGGCACTCGCCTTTGCTGACTCAAGGTTGATACGTACATATGTGTAGAAAAAAGACAGCTGAAAAAAATGATGATAAATATGCAATAAACATGTCACAGATGACTTCATAGCGAGAACAATGCAGTGTATGAAAAAATAAGAGCTGCTGATTTAGCAACTTGTGGTGGTTTAACTGAACATTAAGCTGTTTTTGAATTCAGGCAACTATTGACTTGCATGGAAATTATGTTGCAGGCAACTTCGGCTGCCTAAGACTTTTGTATTGCATATGTGTATTACATAGCCAGTTAATACTAATGGTGTCTTAGCAGTTCTTATATCAACGCCACATGTTCTGACTGTACATGTCTACAGATAAAACCTCCATCTGTGCCCAGGAGGCACTGGAAGGACGTTCGCTTAAGGACAATTTCCTGTTGACGCCTGAGATGGCATCCCCAAATGAGGCTGAAAGAATGGATTCTGGCATTGATTACTGCAGGAGGAACGTGAGCTGTCTCACTTCTTTATGAAGTCAATTCGTCAATATTGGGCCGGGGATGAAGTGCCTCGGC